TCATGTACATACATGCGGAGACCAGAGAACAATCTTAGTGGTCCTTCTTCAAATGTCATCCACCTTTTCTTTTCCTTGAGACAAGGTCTTTTGTGGGTCTGTAACTCACCAAGTAGTTATCTTGGCCAGTCATCCCCAGGGACATGCCTGTCTCCTGAGATTATAATCATGCACCACCATGCTTTACACAGTTTCTGGGGAAATTCGGGTCCTCATGCTTGCAAAGCAAACACTTTATCAACTGAACTACTGCCGTGGACACCTGCTTTGCTATTTCTTAAACACATGAAGCAAAATTTTTTCAAGCCAGGATTTCACTATACAGCCTGGTCTTGAACTCACGAAGTTGCCAGGCTGAATTTGAATTCATGATTCTCCTGCCTCATCCTCCTGAGTGCTAGTGTTATAATTGTGTGCCACCACACCTGTCTTCCCAAGCACATTTTGCCTTGGCATTTTTCTGCTTGCTATTCTCTGTGCGCATCATATTCTCCCCACTGATAACCACACAGATCTCTCCAAAATCACCTTGCTAGGGATGATCACCCTCCGCATTCTTTCAAAACAGCAGTCCCTGTCCACTGTCTGTCCTTTTACTTATCTTGGTTTTTATAGCATCTTACCGTCTAATGTTTAATCTTTATTTGCTCATTATTTATCTTCTTCAACCAGAGTGTTTTCTTTTTGAAAGTATGGATTTCTGTCTGTTTGGTTAACTGTGGAACTCCTGACACTGAGAACCATGCCTGGTGCATTGTAAGGGACCAACAAATATTTGTTGAGTAAAATGGATGAATGAGTCATGTTGTTGCTGGTAAAAAAAAAAGCGTCTTATGTTCAATAAAAATTTACTGAAATCTACCCTATATGCACAAGTATCCTCCTCCAAGATGGGAGGAGTTGAAAGCTGGAAATGAAGAGACGCTGAACATCACAAGGATGCTTAAGCCAAAAGGAAGATCAGGATGTCATAGTCATGGAAATATCAGGGAGAGAAGTTTTAAGAAGAGATGAGACTTATTTCAGGATGTTGGTTTTACTTGTATACGCACATGACTCCGTCCCCCAAATGGAGATCCAAACAGGTACTATGGGGTAGAGAGGATGCAACTAGAGGGAGCATGGTACTGGATTGCTAAGTTGAGAAAGACAGCAAATGGTCTATTATGCAAGTGTAAAAGCTAATTATAAATCACTCAAAGAAAACTGACTCTCCATTTCTCAATAGCTATAAATTGCTAATAGCTCCTCATCTAAGGGCGGGACTTCATGCCCCCCCCCTGCACTCATCCATGCTGGGATATTGTCTGCATTGTTCAGGACTTATGCTGTCACAACCACTGGGAGTTTGTATGTGCAACTGCCTTTTGTGTCTGAAAAATACAGTTTTGTTGCAGTCATCTACTGTCTCTGGTTCTTACAATCGTTCTTTTCCCACTGTGACTCCTGATAGGGAGATCATGCTCCAGGGATGGACCCACACCCAAGAGTATTTGGGCAACACAGATTGGGTTCCACGGGCTTAAAAAGAAAAGGGGACATGAAGTTGGGTATGTAGGGAGGTGAGGGATGGATTGGGAAGGAGATGAGGGAGGGGGTGAATATAATCGAAATACGTTGTATGAAATCCTCAGAGAATCAACAAAAGTATTGCTGTGTCTGGTGCTGGGAGTGTTTTAGGTCCTCTAGCATGTAGAAGAAATAACCAAACTATCTCAAGCACTGGCTCGTTCTGGGCTTTCCATGGCAACAGGAACAGGGGATTAAATGTCCCTGGTTTGGGAGATGTGTATAGGTTGGCCAAGACTAAGGAAAGATTGTTTCTGAAATTTCTGCATTTTTTAAAGTTAGTGATACTTGCATGTGTGTAGTTAAGCTTTTCATTGTCCTAAAGAAGTGTATCTTTAGACACTTATCTCATTGGATGTGAGCTGTCCAGGGAAGAAACAGAACTGAAGTAGCTATGCCTTGAGTAAGGTGTGATAAACAGTTTGTTGATTTGATTAATAAGAGACTGCACTAGCCCATGTGGTGGTCAGAGATGGGGCCTCAGCTTTCTGTGACACCAGAAAGGAGCACTGAACCATCTCTAAAGTTGAATAATCCTGAGTTGTCCTGGTGCCTAGGGAATAAGGCTAGAAATCCTCGTGGAACATGGTATAATAGCTAATGTGGTGTGGTGCGCTATCCATGGTCCTGCAAGAGCAAGGCCTTACTGCCTGACTGCGCTGTCTGTGGTGCTGAACGACAGTGGTGAGGATGGATGAGCACCGACTGATAGGGGTTTTCTGTGAGGCTTGCAAAGTGACTAATGTGTTTGCAGAACCGAATGTGTGTGCCAGGCTGAAGTGATAAGAATGGCTGCATCTCGGTGGGAGTAAAAACAAAGAGGAAAGTAACAGAAGGAAGAAAAAGTGCTGAGGTTTGGGGAGAAAGTGCCCAACCAGTTATTTAATCAAGACTTTACTCCCCAGAATGGAAATCCAAATGAAGTTGAAGAGGAAGAGTATTTCTAAAGAGTCTTTGCTCCCCCAACCTGTTGAAAATAGGAAAGTTTGTCTCCAAGGAAAGAAAAGAAGTTCCCCATCTCATTACCTGGGGATGTTTTGGCCCCAGAAACTTGGAAGGATGGATCAAGTCAGGTCCACGGACTGCACTATAACTACATAAAAGGCCAGAGGGGCTGTTGAGATAGCTAGGTTGGTGAAGTGTTTACCTTGCAAGCACAAAGACCTGAGTTCAATCCCCAGAACCCACATTTTTTAAAAAGTAAACCCAGGTGTAGTTGGAGTGCGTGTAGTCCTGGTGCTTGGGAGTCGAAGACAGAAGGATCCCTGGAGTTCACTGGCCAGAAATCCTAGCCTATTTGGTGAGTTACAGACCAGTGGAGACTCCGTGTCAAAAAACAAAGTGGGTGGTGGCTGAGGAACGACCCCTGAGGTTTTCTTCTGGCCTCCATATTCACATGCACACACATATGCATCTAAACACACATGAACACTCACATACACACACACACACACACACACACACAATCCAGAGAGGTAGCATAATTTTGTTGAACTAGCCACTAGGCCTGGAGACATGAAGCATAAGTTTGGATACTGACAAGGTCTTTGAAATTCAGTAATCTTCACATCTATGTTTTGCAACCTGGAGTTGATTACCTCTGTCCTGTTCATCTGATACTGTTGTTGGGAGAACCAAATAATGTATGTGAAGCATTTTGTGAGCTAAGTGCTGTGCAGATGCAGGACACTGACATTTATATTCCCATTATACATGTGATTTAATAGCCAATAGCCACTTAGCCTATTCCCATTCCAAGCAGCTAGCTCATGAGTATTTGGACTAAATAAACACGTGGGCTCATTTACAATTAAATTCAGTATAAAGAACTTACAATATTCCACTTTATTTCTCCATACACCATCTTTAGTGTGTGAATACTTTTTGAATATGATTCAACTGCCCAAAATAAAAGCACTCATTCAATGAGGTAATTTAAATGACAATAGCCACAAAGAAACCGTGGGAGATTCGTGCTGTGGGTATAGTTCTTGTTTAAAACACACAGGATATACTTTCTCCTTCTCCTGTTTCCAATCTTCCCACTCCCCATTCAATTTCTATCCTAGTCACAGGACCATATGAGGACATATTGTGAACCGACTTTTAGAACTCTTGGGTGGGGGAGGCTGGCAAGAGATGAATTCTTATCAATTTTTGATAGAAAATAATTTTATTACTACTTGATTATATAGATACAAGGCAGTGTAGTGGTGAGGGTTAGGGGCTCTGAAGAAAATGAAAACAGACATCACCATTGGAGAGTAATAATCCAATCCTGGGGTGCAGTCAGTCCTTAGGACAGGAGAGGACCTTAGGTCCATCTACTGGAGAACTTTGTGAACAGGTAGCCAGCTGGAGGTTCAGAGCCCCGAAGAGCATGAATCTGCAGACATGTGGCTTACAAGCAGGGTGTGGTGGTACATGTCAGTAATCTCTACACTCAGAGGACAGAGGCAAGAAAGTCAGTAGGTCAAGGCCAGCCTAGAGTGGGGAAAAAAGGAAGAAAAACAAGAGAGCAACGTGACTTGGATCCCATTCCCTTTGCTCTGTGTTGTCTTCTCTTTTGCCTCAGCTGTATTTGATGCCCACAGTGCCCCCTACTAAGTATTCTGGGATGCAAGCCCCTGCCATTCTTCAAAACCACCTTCATCGGAGGTCTGCAGGGCTCAGTTAAGGTTGATAACTTTGTGCACATGACCCAGTTAGCAGACACACAAATGCTATGTAACAGATGACCAGGCCAGAGAAAGGAAGGACAGTGTCAAAAGGCTGCAGTTTTCTTTGATGTCCAGTGGTCTTGTACAGTAAAATGTCAGACAACATTACACCTGTACAGTGATAGGACATTCCTGACCCTGATACTGGAAACCAGGTTAATGGCCTAGGAGGACCAGAGGGAGAGCCTCTATGTTCCTTGGGTCTGACCATTACTTCACAATTGCTCTGTAGGGGAAAGCCACTCATTTTCCTGGCCTGACAGAAGCTACATTTTAAAAATCAGAATTGACTTTCTTAATCCACCCTCCAATGTGGTAAACCTCAGCCCAGGTGATCTGAACCCACTGCATAACATTTTGTTTCCAATGCATGTGCAGTCTCTGCACCATGAGCTCTAGATCCCCTAGATGACAGAGCTGTCCCCAGGCTTTCAGTATCCAGGGTCTCCCTAATCCCAGTTGACCTGGAACTCACTATGTAGAACAGGCTAGCCTTGAACTTACAGAGGTCCATCTGCCTCTACCTCTGCCTCTGCCTGGGATTAAAGGTGTGTACCACCACACCCAGCAAAACCTTCATTTCTTTACTGCCAACAATGACAAAGTTCCATCTCTGTGTCATAGGCACAGCGGTGAAAAACACTTAAAGCAGATATATGTAGCAAAGGAGACCATCTTGGGATGCCTTATGGCCTTGAGTGTATTCCTGAGCTAAAGACAATGTTGAAAAAATCTCTCTGGGATAAAAACCGCATCATCATAGCACTCCAGAGGGGCAGAGTACATCTCCAGGGTCAATTGGCTTAGATTGGCTGTGTGGTGGAAAAGGTCCTTCAGGACGGCAATGGAGATGTCATTGTCATAGAAATTGATCATGGTGAGATGGGAGCATTGGCTGAGGGCAGGCAGGAGGGCAAGGGGCTCAGAGTTCCCCAGCCTACAATCCACTAATTCCAGAGCCTGCAGAGTTCCTGAAACTCTCTCTAGGAGAACTTGGAGAGGCACAGGACATAAATCGACTACTTCAGTACCTCTCAGCTTCAGGTGCTTGAGCTGACTGAGGCGCTGACACCATACAGGGAATTCAAATCTGACTGTGAAAACTGGCAGGAACTGATGGAGAGGGTCTCCAAGGGGGAATCCAGGAGCCTGGACAACTGTTTCATGTGGTCACTGAGAAAGTTGGCACCACTCATATAGAGATGCTGGAGAAAGTTGAGTTTGGAGAACTGAGAATGAACTTGGTGACAGATTTCTTCTCTGTGTGTATGGAAGTATTTACAATGTGAAAGATATTCCTGTAGATGTGTTCAAAATGGTGCGTGCAAAGATTTCTCATCTTGCCCAGGTTATAAAGTGCAAAATGTACCAGGGTGAACAAATTGCAATCGGTGTATAGTTCCAACTCCTGGATATACTGTGGCTGGGAAACTGTCAAGACCTCCCTGACACTGTGGGTAGGCAATCTCCAAATTTTTATCTTCTGATGGCACAACTGTAGGGAACTTCTCTGCTGGGCTCACTGCAACAATTTTTGTTTCATATTCATCAAGTTGGAAACTGAGGCAAAGGTCAGCCAACACCTTCAAACACTTCCTAGATGTGTATCTAGGAAGATCCTTCACTGGCTTGTTCTTCCTCACAACCTTCCTTTCAGCCCACTTGCTCCAGAAGTTCCACATTCTGAAAACCGAGCACTACAAGTTTCTACCTCCTGGGGCAAGCTTTCTCATTAATCAGCAGATCCAGTCTGTCTAATGCAGTCTGAAGGATCTTTAGGTCTGGAATCCTCATAGAGTTTTAAGACAAAGATAGGGGAAGGGCCAAACCTGGACCATTGCCCTCAGGATGTCAGTTTGTCTTCTGGTGAAGGCCTCCTTGAATAGTGGTGGGAAGAGCTCTTTGGGCAGATACGCCAGAGCAGAGATGACTGAGTCCTCTTCCCTTAGCAGCTTCTGCTGTACCAGCCCCAGGAGTGTGGGTAGGGCCTGGCTGCTCATCCTCATAGATGGTCAGGCAGAAGGATCCACTTCTGATCTCTGAGGACAGCTCTCAGAATCCCAGCAGGACCAGTCAGTAGCTCCTGGACCCTGTCTTCTCCCAAATTCTTACCATTTTAAAAACTATGTCTTACTGTTGTCAAATATATTTGAGTAAGCTGAAGATGCCGTAAGGATGAGTGCAGGCTTTATTCAAGGAGAATATTAAAATGACCATGTAGACAATTCGTTGCTATTTGTGAAGTTCTGGCAAACAATGAGCTTCCGTGGTAGTCAGTCCATTTTATAAGTGATTAAGTTTCTTGTGTGTGCATGTGTGTTCATGCATGTCCCTGTGCATGTGTGTGTATATGTGTATGTGAAAGTGCATGTAAACATGTGTATGGAAACCAGAGAACAACCTCAGATGTTCCTCAGGTTGTGCCATTCACCTTGGATTTTTGATTGTTTGAGACAGGGTTTTATTATGTAGCCCTGGCTGGACTGGGATGCATTATATAAGACTCGCCTGGTCTTGAATTCACAAGTATCCACCTGCTTCTGCCTCCCAACTGCTGCAATTACAGGTGTGAGTCACCACACCCAGGTCACCTTGTTTTCTAATATAGAGTCTCTCACAGGCCTGGAGCTCATCAAATACATGAGATTGGCTAGCCAGTGAACCCTAGGGCTCTGCATGTCTCTGCCTTCACAAAGGCGTACCATCACACCGGACATTTTTACATGAGTGCTAGGGATCAAACTCAGGTCCTTATGTTTGCACAGCAAGCACCTCACTGACCAAGCCACCTCCCAGGTCTGATTAAGGTTTTCTAGGGATGCTTGCACCACTGGTTCAATTAGGTGGCCTATTATTGCAGAGGACATGCCTGAAAAATGCATCAATGCCTGCTGTGACTGTCAGTTCACTCTACTGTGTCTCCCCAGCTCTTTTCACCTTAGCTCTTGCTAAGCTGCAGTGACCACCAGGGTGCCAATTCTAGGCAAACTTTCAGGCCTCTATTTTTGCTTGACTTGGCAGGATGTGACATAATTGACCACTTAATTTTTCTTGAAATCCCCTCTCAATGTGTTCCATATGAAACTTCGTTAAAGGCTTCTTTTCTACCAAGCCATTAAATATTGGAGCTTCTTGTGAGTCCGTCCCAGCCCCCTCCCATATTTTTTCTCGGAGTAACCCAATCTTTTCTCCTATGGTTTTAACTTCCACTCAAGCCTCTCGTATATGCCAAACCTGGCATTTGACCTACCTGTTACTTTAGAATATATCTCCTTTTAATTTGGCTTCTTCTTCTGTATCTCCTATTGCATTAAATGGTACCATCAAACACCCAGCTGCTCTGTCATAAACCTATAATACACACTCTCTCCAACTCCAATCACCAAGTCCTGGCCACGTCATCTGCCCTTTGTTTTTGCTTATTCACTGGCTTCTCTGAATAAATCTCTTTTGTTCATAGCAACCAACAAAATTTTTTAAAATTTTATTTATTTATTTATTTATTTATTTATTTATTTATTTATGCTTGTGTGTGCGTCACAGAGTGCATGTGGATGTCAGAAAGCAAATTTTCAGAGTCACTTCTCTCCCTCCACCATGTGGGTCCTGGGGTTTGAACCCAGGTCATCAGGCTTGGTGACTTCACTGACTGAGTCATCTTACTGGCCCTCAACATGATTTTTTTTTAAATTGTTTATTTTTATTTTGTGTGTATGAGTGTTTGCCTGCATGTGTGTAGGCGTACCATGTGTTGTGCAGTATCTGTGGAAGCCAGAAAAGGGCATTGGATCCCCTGGAACTGGAGTTATGGATGGTTGTGAGTCACCATGCAGGGGCTGAGAACCAAAGCTTGGTTCTACAAAAGCAGCCAGAGCCATCTCTCCAGACCCTCAACATGATTTTGATAATGTAGATTGAATATCACTCCTCTGATTTTACCTTCCAAAGGCTTCCCAGTGCTTTCAGAGCAGGTCCCCATTCACTTAGACGGCACAGCCTGACATGATCCAGTTCATTCCCGTCCACTCTCGCCACTTTTCCCTTGTTTCCTCCCTGCAGTGATGCATCCTCTCTTGGTTCTTGGAATTCACCACTTTCCTTTCTTGCTTTGGTCCCTTCATATCTGTTTGTTTCTTTCCCCTCCCTCTCGGGGGTGCTTTTCCGTCCTCTCTCCTAACCCGACTTTTACTGTTCTTTCAGTTTAGTTTAAACATCACTTCTTCATCCTTTCCTGGCCCTTTGGACCCGTGAACTGACCTTTTTATCCTTTCTCACTGCAGCCAACTCTTCCTTGGTACATTTCAGCAAGATTCTGTTCAGATGTCTGTTGCTGTCCTAGAAGCTAAGCATCTTGATGTCCACACCATGTCCCTATATTTCCTGTCGCATTCTTAACACCCAAGACAATGAGATGTGGGTGTTTGATAAATATTTGTGAAGTAAAGGAATCAATGGGTGAATGGAGATAGCTCTCTCAGAGAGTCTTTGAGAGGAGTATCATACAGGTGAATGATTGCTAATCTGGTGCCTTGTTTGACCTGAGAGTGAAAGATAATTTTCCCATCCACCAAGGATGCTGAGCATGACTGGGATTCTCTTATTAAGGAGGAGCATTTTGGAGCTGAAAAATGAAGATAAGAAATGGGAGGGAGGGTTGGAGGATCAGTGGCATTTACTAAGAGTTACTAAGATGTAGTGGAAAGAACTCCTTTGTGAGAGTAAGGAGACTTGGGGTTAGCCTTGGACCTTCTGCCAGCTTGCTTTCTGAAGCTAGGCAGCATTTTCATCTCTGAGGAGCAGCTACCACAAGAAAATAAGAGAAGATCTCCCTGGGTCCTGATGCTTTAAGAACTTGAAAATAATGTCTCGGCTCTGAGTCATTGTGAGTCTGATCTTGTGAAGAAACTGAGGCTTTGTCTGACTAAGGGCAGGGTGGGTTCTATGAAGGCCTCGGTGAAAGCCAGGGTTGGGTTTGGGTCTGATCATGTACCTCCCTACATGATCAGAGTGGTCAGTCACCTTCTGCACACAGGTCCTGGAGGAACAAAGAGATTGCCCTTCGTATCTTTTTGAGCAGTAACAAATCTCTGTGCTCTTGGCTGTAATCAAATTGGACATGGCCTTGTGTCGGGTTTAGGAGATTCTCTCTTGAAACTGTCTTGGCTCAGAGGTATGAGCCGAGCTGATGTAGGATGGGAGGTGAGTCAGGTCTCTGTTCTTTCTCATTCTGAAGAATATCAACAAAGATTTGTCTGCATCATTCATTTCTAGAAGCCAGAGATCCATTGGATATTCATTCTATTTTTATTTCTATTTTTACATTTTTACTTAGTTTTTATTTTGTGTGTGTGTATTTTGCCTGTGTATGTGTAAGCACATCATGTGCATGCAGTGCCTGTGGACATCAGAAGAGGGTGTTGGATCCCCTGGAACTGGTTATGCATGGTTGTTAGCTGCATGTGGGTGTTGGGAATTGAACCCAGGTCCTCTGCAAGGGCAGCCAGTGCTTTTAACCACTGAACCATCTCTCTAATCCTACATTGTATATTCTTAGGTGTTGAAGAAGATGATACTGAAAGAAAAGAGTATCAACCTAGAGGGTAGGAGACCGAAGTCCCAGGCACAGGCTGTAACAAGCTGTGCCCAGTTTTCAGACATCTTCCAGGCCAGGATCTTAGTTTTATCACTTGTAAAATGAAGGGATTGGGCCAGGCTGTACACTGAGGCCCTCCTATCACCACAAGAAACCATTTTATGTGTTCTGTAGACTTATCTTGCAGTCTATTCAAGGAAAAATTAATCCTTAACAGAGTACAGAATTAGGGAAAATTCATTATGTAACTCTAACCATGAAGTTTTAAGAAATAAAAATAAGGGACTGGAGAGATTGCTCAGTGGTTAAAGCACTTGCTGCTCTTGCAGAGGGTCCAGGTTCAGTTTCCAGCACCCAGATGGCAGCTGACAACCATCTGTAACTCTAGTTCCAGAGGATCTGATGCCATCTTCCCGCCTCTGTGGGCATTGCACACATGTGTTGCACCTACAAACATACAAGCAAACACTCATACACATAAAATAAAAATAAATAAAAATGAAATAAAGATGAATACTTTGAAGTGTTAAAGAAGTAACAGAGAAATGTTTGTGAAAGTGTCCTGAGGAAGGGATTGGTGGAGGTTTATTCCCTTTTGTGTGTGTGTATGTATGTGTGTGTATGCACGTGTATGTGTTCCTGCATTTGAGTGCAGGCACATATGTGCCATGGATTATGTACAGATGTCAGAGAACAACGTCTAGTGTTGTCTCTCACTATCTTCCTTGTTTCAGGCAGGGTCTCTTAGGTGAGAGAGTTTCCAGGGATCTGCCTCTGCCTCCCATCTCACTATAGGAATATGGTAAGTACAGATGTGTATTAGGGTACTCGGCTTTGCATGTACTCTGGGGATTTGAAGTCAGGTACTCTGAGGTGCATAACAAGCACTTTACCCACTGAGCCATCTCTTCATCCCTGGTAGAATTTAAATGTGTTGCAATATGCATTACACATACTCTATTAGGAGAGGCATGGTGGACTCTAAATTCTGGGACCCTTAAGATTATGCAAATTTTCACCCAGCTTAGAAGCCCCACTGGGGCCCTTTCTCGCTGCCTCTGGCTTTGGTTGGTCACATTCTGAAAGCCAGGGCACCTACATGGGACCCCTGTCCATGAGGCCATTCTGTGGTTGTTAATCTTCTTCCTAAGCATTAATTATTTTAGAGCCAAATATGTTTCTTATGAACAGTAATTCCCCTTTGCTAAAATTCTAAAGAGAAATATGCAAATGCTAATAAAAATTGACAGGTAGAAATGGGTTTTGGACAAAGTTCTGAGGCAAGAGCGCTGTGAACATTATGTAAATGCCAAACAATATAATGCAGCTGTTGAGTTTATTGCGGGGAGGCAAAGGGGACTGGGAAAATCCTGAGCTGCACTGCAGCTCCTGGCATTGAAGGAGTCC